GAAGTACAATAAAAATGGGTTCGCCTGTAAACGAAAGATGAACAACTTAACATAAGATAGAGGTTATTTCATGGCAGTTTAATAGGAGATGCTGCACTGGTCTGAAGCTCAAAACAGCAGACAATTTCAGTAAAAATTACTGTGGTCTCCAAAGAACTAAATAACCTCACTCTACTGCAAAAACATATTTTGGCTTTGGTTTGAGTCTCAAAGCAAACAATGGCATTACCTGCCATCGGTCCTGATGCAGCATCCTTTTCAAAGTCATTCTGTGGAACGTCATCTTCTTGGGTTTTTTCAACACCTGTAAAGTTTAAAATTAGCAGTGAATTTAAAAGGTTTGGCCTGTAAGCAGGAGAGGGAAACAGTTAGTCTACGTCAGTTTACTTGGAGATGCACCCCAATAATTGAAAGTACCCTGGTTCAACAGAAGAAAATAACCTCACTCCGCTGCAAAAAAAAAGAACATTTGTCATTGGTTCAACTGACAAAGAAAACAATGACATTACCTGCTATCGGTTCTGTTGAAGTGTCCTTTTCAAAGTCGTTCTGTGGAACGTCATCTTCTTTGGTTTTTCCACGACCTGTAAAGTTAAAAAAAGGGATGATTTACAGAGAAAAATGTCACTCTTAAAAAAAAGAAAGATTCTTTTTTTGCTACGTTCTTTTTGTATACAAGAGAACACCACCATTGCTACTGCATATGAATAGAAATCAAATGACTTTGATGTATTGCAATGTTATGGATTTTAATTTTCATGTATCGCTAGCCAAAATTTTATAAAATCATAAATAAAAGTCTTAAAAATGAAATTGATCAGTAACACAAGAAGTGTACGGAGAACGGTGTGTAGAATGTGAATACCACCATTAAGGTTAAAAAGGTCAACGGCAACATTTCTTCAGCGATGAACATGGACCACGATACATAATATAGTAAAAATGTATTTATGCACTCCCTATTGCCAAAAAAGGGACATATACAATTTGATTTCTTACCATAGTCCATCCTCCACATTCTGGCGAGAGGGACCTGGCACTGTCTCTCTCAAGAGAATCTTTGATCATAACTTCTTCGCAGTCTTTGGATTTCCTCAATCCGCTATGTCCTTGATTTTTGACGGATGGCTGCAATTGCTTTTGCCCATTCTTTGGGGTCATCAAAGTCGATCACAAATGACTCAGCCATTGGAAGTTTACGCACTGTTTTTCCAAACCCGGAGTTTCCACTAACCAGAACGGGAAGACCAGCTGACATGGCCTCCAATCCTGTCAAACCAAACCCCTCAGTTCTTGATGGCATGATGGCCAGATCGACAGCACAAAACAATCCTCTCAATTTTTGTTTGTCTTTCACAAACGATTTCACAATCAGCTGGTTTTTTGAAATGCCAGTCTGGAGTAAGTTTTCTGCGACTTTATCCTGCCTTCCCTTGGATGCACCAGAAAATCCAGAATATATGCACCAGAAAATCAGAATATAGGAACTGTCCTTCAGTTCAACTATGGATTGAGCGGCAATGTCGTATCCTTTAAGACTAAAATCTTCCAAATCACCGCGACCGAAGCTCAATACTCTGAAATTTACACCATCATGTGCAGCATGTTTAATATCTGAAAACTCTGCAAGGGAACCTTGTATTAGTTGAAAGATATCTTGATGATATAAACGCAACTTGCACGAGAACGCTTCCTTTAACTTGGGTCCAACGGCTACAACGAGGTCTTCATTTTGACAAAGTTCAACTTCAGCTGTGTTCTTCTCTTCTCCCTTGGCAATGGCACTTGGATAGTTCTTATGCATCGCCAGCTCTTCAGGCTCAGTGTGAACAACCTGCACCCAATTGCAGTGATGAGATTTTCTGATAATTTGCGCTTGTTTGCCAAGCTTTGCTCCATGGCCGGTGACAACCTGAATGTCAAGGTCCTCTGGTGGAACGATCAACAAATCAAGAGGATCACTGAAGCCAGGAAGATGCCCTGCTTCTATAATGGAGGTGGTATAACTTTTGGCAACTCTCTTGTCTTCTTCTCCACACTCAAATTCAGGTACAAGAATGGTCACTTCTACGTGTGGCTCTTTTGCCAAATGTATGGCAAGAGTTCTGTTTATTGTTGACAAGCCACCTCTAGACGACCCCCATTCGTTCGCCAGGAGGGTAACTTTCAATATTAACCGTTCTGAATGACCTTGTTCAGCATCAGATGATGATGATGATGGTAGTGGTGATGATGGAGTACACAAGTCCTGTACAGAAACCAAAAATGGAAATTTTAAAATAGAAAGCGTACACCTGGAGTGCTTACCGCTTTGAAAGAAAGTTTGCAAAACATGTTATCACCCAGTTAGAAGCTATAAACTTATCGTTTAACTGTAAAGCAAACAGCTTGTTAAGAAAGACTTGAGAAACGGTTATGAATACCCACTGCTATGGCTGCAGTAGGTATTTAACAACAGAGTTGATTATGTTAATTGGCCACTGTAAACAGATTCTCAGTTCAAGGCTAGCCATTTGTCAGGCAAAGTGCTAAAATAACTTGAATAGAATTTTGAGTCATATATGGTAACCTTATCAAATTACTTGATTTTAAGTACTATTGTTTGTTCCTTTTTTTACCCACCGAGGGGCTTGTGGTAGGTCAAATGAAGGCCTACGTTGTATATTATTATAACCTAATAATGACACACACAAACGTTGTTGAAGCTTTTTAAGTGTAAATAAATTACTAGCCTTTCGGCAGCATAATAGCAGTTTAGTAGTAATATGCCGTAAAAGTCCGAAAATAAGCTCCCAGGCTGATATTTTTTCAAAGGCCCTTTTTGAGGGGCTTTTATACGGAGGGAAATGGGAGGGACATTTGCGTTTCAAAATCGATTGGGCTAAAGGTTTTATTGAAACTCGCCATGGCGACCTAGGTCTTTCTAAAACTCTGCCATGCGAGTACTTTGGCTATATGGATCGAAGGAATTCAAGCCAAGAGTGAAGAGTGAACTACGCAAACAGCAATACACTGTGACACTTCTTGATTGAAATCATTTGGCACGAGGAATAGTTCTTTGGTAAATTAAAAACATTATGTGTTATTGTACCGTTTTTAATTTGTATTATTTTGTATTTGAGGGCAATTTCCAAGTACAAGCCCCTGGGGGGCTTATATTCGGAGGGGCGATTAAATGGAAGGTTGTTTTGCGTTACGAGTTTGTTTATTTGCAGGGAGCTTAAACATGGAGAGACTTATTTTCAGAATTTTACGTTAACTTTCCATTTATATGTAACATGCTAACAGCACTGATAGAGATGAGATTTCAGTGCTACCTATCTTACTTGGTGTCTGTGAGAACCATTTTGACTGTGAGTACTTCATCTGTAGGTTTCTTTTTGCAAATCAGATGAACGCCTTGTCTTACCTCAAGGAGGTGAAGACAATCTTCATGAGAACATGCAATCTGATTATGGCTTGAGTATTTTTCCCGCTCACAAAACGGACAGGCGACCCGAATATGATACTGCAATCCACCTTTATAGAGATCACGTGACAAAGCTTACAAAGTTGCCTCCACAAACTCACTAACCTGCACTGCCATCTCACTTGTCTCATCCAGAGAAATCTGCTGAGGGTGGTTTCTTTGCTTGATAAAGAACTTAATAAACTGCTTCTTAAAAATAAGAACAAAATCATNTCGCCATGGCGACCTAGGTCTTTCTAAAACTCTGCCATGCGAGTACTTTGGCTATATGGATCGAAGGAATTCAAGCCAAGAGTGAAGAGTGAACTACGCAAACAGCAATACACTGTGACACTTCTTGATTGAAATCATTTGGCACGAGGAATAGTTCTTTGGTAAATTAAAAACATTATGTGTTATTGTACCGTTTTTAATTTGTATTATTTTGTATTTGAGGGCAATTTCCAAGTACAAGCCCCTGGGGGGCTTATATTCGGAGGGGCGATTAAATGGAAGGTTGTTTTGCGTTACGAGTTTGTTTATTTGCAGGGAGCTTAAACATGGAGAGACTTATTTTCAGAATTTTACGTTAACTTTCCATTTATATGTAACATGCTAACAGCACTGATAGAGATGAGATTTCAGTGCTACCTATCTTACTTGGTGTCTGTGAGAACCATTTTGACTGTGAGTACTTCATCTGTAGGTTTCTTTTTGCAAATCAGATGAACGCCTTGTCTTACCTCAAGGAGGTGAAGACAATCTTCATGAGAACATGCAATCTGATTATGGCTTGAGTATTTTTCCCGCTCACAAAACGGACAGGCGACCCGAATATGATACTGCAATCCACCTTTATAGAGATCACGTGACAAAGCTTACAAAGTTGCCTCCACAAACTCACTAACCTGCACTGCCATCTCACTTGTCTCATCCAGAGAAATCTGCTGAGGGTGGTTTCTTTGCTTGATAAAGAACTTAATAAACTGCTTCTTAAAAATAAGAACAAAATCATGGAGAGTTTTCTTCTGAATAACAAACCACGCTCCATTTTAGTACAGGGTAGGGGGCTGAGTTGGACCAGCCTCAGAACACCAACGGACAGATCGAGAAACAAGTCGAGTGAACAGACCAGGGGAACAGAGCCGCTGACGAAGTAAACATTCAGGGGACATAGGTCCAGCCTTGAGGGCTCCATGGAACAAAGGGAATCAGGCGAAGCTTTGAGTTGAGATGGAACAAAATACTTTTCACCTGTCTTTGAAGATGAAAATTTTGCAATCAATCCAAATTGTTCCATCAAATCCAGAATGTCTTTCCTGGCAACGCCCTCCAGAAGAAATTTGGAAAACACATGATCAAGCAGTTCCATGCTGAGAACACCGCTTTCTTCGACTTCCTTCCAGTGCTTTGCAAACTTAGAGACCTAAGACGGAATAACAAGAGGAATATAAAGAAACTATTTTTCGCAAGAAAGGTCTTATTCAGGATCATTTTGCATTTCTAAATGTTATATTAATAAGTCTTAGCAAGTTCTCTAAAAGAAATAAACTACTTAACATTTTAAGTAAACATTCAAGGAAAACTTTCCTCCTTGTAATTTGCGGATTTGTGCGAGGACACATATAAAATGGAAATTACGAAAGACTGCCTAGAAAGTACAACTGTGAATAAATCTCTCTGGGGGCGAAAAAAGATCATAACCTTTTTAACAGACCTCAGATTTTAAATCTATAGAATGTTCTTTAAAGCGCCACGTAAATGCCAGAATCCTCCATTTGGTTTACTCGCCGGAAAATTCTTACGGTCCAAATTTCACTTCCACAAACTATAAAAGCGCGTTCTGATTGGTCGACATAAAGAGTCACTGGTTTCAGCACACGTACATATGTATCTTTCCACTCTTTTTTGTTGCGAGACGTTCCTTTAAGATTACATTTGAGGATAATTCTACAAGTCATGCAATGTACTTCCATTGCACCCCTTTAAAGGTAGATTGTGCTGATGACACACACACGAAAGATAGCGTGCAATGCATGTGACATAATCATTTTTATTTGTTACGGCACGGTTTGACATCCGTGATGTCATCCAAAATGGGGTCCGTTATAAAATATGGCAAGTTTAAAAGCACGTTAAATTGTATTTCTTACCATTTTCGTAAAATCTGGAATAGTGATCAGCTGCCCGAACAAGTCTATCAGCCACTGGGTACTCAAGATGACTGTGCTACGGTGCTTTATAATTATCCCCAGGTCATGATAGAAATTCACCATGGTAGTAAACTCTTCCTCATCATCGATGAAGCACTTCTCCTTGGCATGGGTCCGTAGCTTTGTTATACTCAGGTAATAAACTGGCTTGGAAAGCAAAGCGTTGATGACTTTCTCAAAGCTCAGGCACCTAGTTTACAAAACTAAAGAGAAAATTGATATAGCTAGCTTTAAGTATCCATGCCATGACACAGTATACCTGTCCTGACTAAAGTACAGGGCCCAAATGTGCGAAAGGTGGATAACTGTATTCAGTGGATAAATATCTGTGTGTGATCCACTTTACTTTATCTTTCTAAAACGACAATTGAAATGTACACAGTGCTTTTTGGTCAATTGGTAATAACGTTATCAAACCCTTCAGGGCAGAATATTCCTTAAGGCCAGTCAAAACTGCTTATTCATTTCTTATGAGGCTTTCTTCTGCAATTCCGCACCTTAGGGCCTGTTTACATGGAGTGGGGGACCCCGGTCTAGTGGGGTAAGTTTCTTTTGTTTTCACGCTCTGGGGGGCACAAAACAAAAGAAACTTACCCCACTAGACCGGGGTCCCCCACTCCATGTAAACAGGGTCTTAGTTGGAACTCATGGAATTTCGCGCCAGAGTCAAAAAATATTTGCATTCGCTTAGTTAGTTGGATTGCACCAATAACTATGATTGCACATTATGCCGTTTGTATTAATTTATTGAGCTTTTGCCATAGTTTTCAACCCTCACCCTAACCTACAAAATGCACAGAGTCGAATAGATATCCACAAGTAGACGAAATTGCAAGATACGATGCCTGGAGACTTCCCGCCGTCTTTCCCAATTTGTAGGAGAGGAGATATACAAGGTTGTTCCTTTTCTGTTTATAAATTATCGTATTTATATGGCACTCGATGAGACAATGAAAACGATTCTTCTTTACGTTTGACGTAGCAAATATAGAAATAACCTGCGATCAGGCCTCCCAAAGAAAATGGGAAAATCTAAGGACCGCCTGATCGCAGGTTAATGAAGAAAAATCAGATATAGTGAGAGATTCCCTCCCGGCCCAGGATATCATCTAGCAAACAAAAGCAGATTGTTTACTTTTTTCCTTGTTAGCGTATATGCTTTATCTTGTAAACGACTTTTAAAAACCGTTAGCACCGAGTGTGAATTTATTTGCAGCGTACGCGTATCGGCCAAATGCGACTGCTAGACGCAAATACTGCAAATAAATCCCCTTGTTTAAAAAAAAAAATTACCAACCATGTTTGTGCTCATTTATCCTTTTACGAGCCAGATATTTTGCATAAGCAATGACATCATGCAAAGATTTACTTATAACGAAAAAAATCGAGATACCTTTTACAGTATAATGGAATCAATTTCACACCTCGGAAAAATGGCTCTAACTTCCGCTAGATTGGAAAACCCTAATGCTCCAGTAGTCAATCGTCGTGTGCGCGGGAGATCTTTACCGTGGATTACACCTACTATAAAGGACTTGATGAAAAAGCGCGATTATCATCACAAAAAAGCCATTAAAACTAACAAAGAGCTTCACTGGAGCAGCTACAAAAGGTTGCGTAACGCTGTGTCGATGAAACTTCGTAAGGAAAAAGCCAGTTATTATTCAAATCAGCTATGTGAAAAACAGGACTCGCGTAAATTGTGAAAACTCTTAACGAGCTTATACCAAACAAGAAGCAACACAAAACTGCGAATGCTCCAGCCTCTGAAAATTTAACGGCTACTAGCTTTAATGAGGTTTTCACGTCAGTTGTTGAGAAACTATGTGGTCATTACAA